AAACAACCAAAAACAACATTAAGGATTAACATTAAGGATATATACTAGATCAATGCCATACCACAAGTGAGGAGTAACATATTTCTGCGACCATTTTCATACCAGTAAGTGGAAAAATCCGACCATTGCAATACCTCAAGTCATAATTTGGAGGGCATTCTCATGCCAGATTCTAAAATTTGGGTCCATTGCTATACCAAATGTCAGTAGTACCCCACCTGAGCCGAGGATCCCCCTGAAAGCTTATATACAGTGAACTCCCCGTGTGACTGGTTAGGATGTTTCTACTTCCACATTATGGGATTTGTCATTCACCCTCTTCAAATGTTGTAGTTAGCAATCATTAGAAGGTGGAAGAGTTCATCATTGGCTTCAAAGAAATTCATTGCATTACATTAGCTGCTCTGAAAGCAGTGAAAGACCGATCTTGAAAGATGGGAGGAGTTGAAATGTCAACACCTTCATAAGTGAGGGCAGTACTGTTCTGTTTTGAAGAATATCTTGTGTGAAACAGCTCAAATCGTATCTATTGATGTCAGTTACAAATGCATTTTTGTAATTCTGCTGTACTTTTACGGGTGAACAATTCAACTTTTCTTGTCTCAGGAATTTCTATATTATTTCCTATTATGAACAAAACAACTTTAAGAACCTCAACTGATGTGAATTCTGTCCCATTAGATGTCAGAAGCTTAACCAAACTCCTGTAGCTGCAAATTTAGGACAAAGTACTATGTGAAGCTATATTAGCCTTCAATATGTTACTGGATCTGAACAAAGGAAAAAATAAATCAACTGAAACAGGAAACAATATAGAGATTCCTGATACAATACAATCCAAAGTTGGATTGTTCACCTGCACAAGTTACAGCAGAATTTCAAAAATATGATGAGATGAGCTGTTTAACATGAGGCACAAGTACTGTATTCTCCAAAACAGAACAGTGCTGCCCTCACTTATGAAGGTGTTGACATTTCAACTCTTACATATTTGTAGAGGGTGAATTATCAAACCCATGTATGGAAACATTCCCACCAGCCTAAACCCAGCTCTACCAAGCCAAACACTGCATGAATGAACTATTGATTCCCCGAGGAATCCTTAACACCAGAATGGTCAAAAGAATTCTTCCTTGTTGAAATTGTTGATATTTATATTAAGAGGCAATTGTGGAAGATGAAACAATAATGATGAGTGAAAACAAGTTAAGAGTTAGAATATATGTGGGAGCTAGTAGAATGGAATTAGGCAATGCTGCCAAACATACATGTAAAAATGCTGAAATTAAGAGAAAAATGATAATTTTTAGCCGTTTTGTATTCTATGTTGTGTATTGACCATTCTCAAATGAAAGTAATCTGAAATCTAAAATGAAGTTTCAATGACAATGAAACATTGTTTAATGGCAACTTAGTAAGTTGTAACCTCCAAAGTCTGACACAATTTCACATTTTTATAAGATATGAAAAGCTGATATCTGTATCTGCTTGAATTCAAAAGTTATAGCATTTATCAATTGTGGAGGTCTGAATTTCAATAAAACCCTAGTTACCATGGTAACCAATCAAATTTCAGCTCCCAAAGTCTGAGTTAATACTTAAAATTAATCATTGTCTAAGATCTGAAAAATGGACATGGATCTCCCTTATTTCAAAAGTTATAGCATCCATCCAATGTGGGGGTCAGCCTTTCCCTAAAACCCTGGTTACCTTGGCAACCAAGCATAAACCAGCTCTCAAAGTATTATACAATACTTTAAATCAACCATTTACGAAGATCTGAAAAAATAATACCCGTATCTACCTTATTCCAAAAGTTATAGCATCCAACCAATGTGGGGGCTCGAATCTGTGAAATAGGCCCCTGTATAAATCATGGACCCATATAAGGCCAAAGACTGACATTATGTGGACTGATCTTTGCATAAGATTGTTGCTAATATACTATAAAAGTTTTATTTTCACATTTTAACCCTTCCTAACACACTGGTGACAAAATATGCACGAAATGACTATTAGGGTGTTCCAGAATATGGCTTTTTCATGCTAGCAAGATGCAGTTCAGCCCAGATGGGCTCTTGATAGTAAAGTTTAAGCTGAAAAAATTTCGGTTCCTAAAATCGACGTTTGACCCCCCCCCTACCGACGTTTTTGCGAAAACTGGTAAAAAACGGCAAAAACGTCATTTTCTAGCCTTACAAGGTAAAATATGAAGGATGGATGTCAGAAACCTTTGTCAAAATCATTAGGTTATGGTCATTATGTATTATCATACAGTTGAAAACATAGTATACCTTGTTCATTAATTATTTAACCCTTTTCCTACTAATATTTGAGCGAAAATCGCAAATATATCACATTTTGAGGCTCAATTGTTCGAAGGATAGCAATAAATCACATCACAAAATTCAAATGTGACACTAACCCCTATTTGCGACATTATGATACGTGTATCACGGTTTGGAATATTGGAAATGATATTACAAATAGTTTTAGAGTACCCAATGGTAGACAAATGACAAATATGCTTAGTTACGCTGCATATTTGAAGGAGATGACACACTCTCTCAAATAATGATCTAAAATGCAAATGCAATAGAAAATATGTACATTCTAAGGATAACCAGTATGTCGACAAAGGATCGTGGGGAGCATTCCTGGAGATGTTTCAATCAACTGAATTTTTATATAATGCTCTTTTCCTTTTTTGATACTGTAATGGTACTGTGGTGCAGAGGACCCCCTTAGGAGAACATTGGCTTACCAAGTCTGCTACATCACTGTTCGCTGAGTAGAATTCTCCCTTTCGCGATTCGCTCTTTGAATCAGAACGTTCGCAAATATGTGCTGAAAAAGCACTCAAAAAGGACAACATTTGATTGGTCAATATTTTCCCCCTATGCATCTCGCGTAGCTATTTGCGTGACCCGAAAGTTCTAAATCAAACTAATTACGCAATTTTGTTTTTACACCCGCACGCTAAATAAAACAATGACACCATCGGAAGTATTCTTCGTTGTAATTGTTTTAATAGTCAGTATACCGAGTTTAATCAAAAAAGATTGTACAATGACCAACAAAATTCGGAAACGAGTATTATAGATTTGCTTTCGGACCACTGAACAGATTGACCTCGATAATAGCGACGCGTCTTCTTTGGTCTACTGCTCAGTTGTTTGTGGGTTTTCAACGTAACTCTATAATGTAATTTGAAGATGAATACTTTTATATTAAGTTGTTGCATCGATGTTGCAGTTTGTAGTGCGGTAAGATCGGCAGGAAAGTATTGAAAGTCGAATGGAATTGTTTTTTCCAAAATGGCGACTAGTCAACTGATCACGTGACCTTCTCTTCCGGAATATTTTCTCACTTTTCAATCATCGTTTTCACCACGCTATGAATCAATACAATGAAAAAATAGCTGTTGTATTAAGACTAATAAGAGACCAATCGTTTCTAATAATTTTTTCTGTACTCTCGTACGGGAATATGAACGAATATATCGTTTGAAAAATAGGTGTGAAAATCCCCATGTTAAACCTATGAGGGAAAACAAGGAAGTATAAATTTGTTCCTCCGCGAACTGCATCATGGGAAATATTTTGAACTTATGAGGAAAGATTTTCGCGTCTCTACTTTTGAAGAAGGAACAACGATTTCGAGAATTTATTTTTATTACGTTTGTTACATACTGTTACAAAACATTATCTGCATGACTGGAGGGACTATAAATATAATGGTCTCTTTGAAATAAAGTTCAGGGTGTACATGTACTAACAACTGGATACTCAAATAAGTCACAAAACTACAGTATACAGAGGCATCATTTGGCTGCGGTTTTGAGACCATACACGGACTCTTACTGTCAGCCTCGTTTTGTTTCAAGTAGCAGAAATAGAGGATATCCTATGATTTATGAGTGATATGATTTTTATCCACGAATGGATATGATATCTGCACGAGCGAGCGTAGCGAGAGAGTGCAGATATCAATATCCATGTGTGGATTAAAATCATATCACGAGTAAATCATAGGATGTTCTTTTTATTCCATAGTTAAAGACATCATCAGAATCGTCGGAAATTAAGTTATTTAATTCGAATTTCCAAACGATCCGGCGATGTTGACACTTAGCCTCGTTTTGAGTCTGAAGTAGCAAAAATCCATAAACCATCGCATACTATAGGAATATCCTATGGTTTTGAAAAAATATCATTTATATCCATGAATGGATATTGATATCTTCATGAGTGAGCGCAGCGAATGAGTGAAGATATTTGTATCCATGAGTGGATATAATTGATATTTTTGAAAAACCATAGGATTGTCCGTTTATCCCATGGAAAATCATCATCAGCGAAAAAAGTTGAAAAATATAATTTGAGAAAAATTTTGAAAAAATGAAAAAAAATTGAAAAAAATGTGAAAAAATATTGAAATTATTTTTGAAATTTTGAATTTTTTTGAAATATTTTTGAAAATAATTAAAAAATGTAAAAAAAAATTTGAAAAAATTCGAAACCATCGAATATCACTTTTCAAACCATCGAATATCACTTTTCAAACCATCGAATATCACTTTCTAAGACGTGATATTCGATAGTTTAAAAGTGATATTCGATGGTTTGTGAATTTTTTGCTAAAATATGATATCTTGATCCACATATCAAATATATCTTCATGTGATATTCGATCTATATCCTTGCAACCATGGGATAAGACGTCGTATGTCATGGCTAAAAAACCGTATGTTATGGTTAAGTGAAAATTTGTCAAAAATATCATATTTTACCACTGATTACAAAAAACCGTTTTTATTTTCACATGTTATCCTATGAATATCATGCTAACTATGGAATAAATCAAGATATGTTGTACTTTGATTGGTCAAGATACACTTCATATCGAAACACCAATAAAAAATGAATACTTGGGATTCTTGAGTGTATACCACCTTGTATGAATTGACCTTCTGATGATTTAACAAGTTAAAGGTTTCGGGGAAATAGGTTTCAGTAAATCATCGATATTATTTGCACTTAAAATAGGTCCTATTTCAGAAGGACATTGTACAATTAGAAACATAGTAACCGCGCGTTCCGGAAATGGCAGACGCATCAAAGTTTCTCACTGCTTTCCTGATTTTTTGCTTTATTTTTTCCGAGGCTGTTTCTCTGGATGAAAATGAAAGGTATTTTTTACAAATTTGTTTAAAGCGTTTGGTTAGATAACTAATTTAATTAATATTTACTTTTGGATATTTATCTCAATATTTGTTGATACTTAAAAATATTATGTTCTAGGAAAGACGAATCCTGCGTTACTCATGCCGGGAATTACACGACTTCAAAGAAATTGTTTCCAACATTGCTCAAGAATCCAAATTCAGGTAATTTCAATTATATTCTGTTGCTACTTTGTCAAAGCTAAGTCAATATTAAGTTTTTACCTTTTCACCAGATATTGGTGTCCGAAAAAAACGTATGCGAAAATACATCAAAATATATGGCACATTCCCGAACATAAGAAAATCACTCAAACAAGAACTAGAATTAAGGAACATCGAATTCACTAATGCTAGATAAGTAAACTGAAAAACTAAGTTGTGCAAGTTTATTAAAAGCATTATAAAGGCAACGAGCTTATCAACAAATAAACAAGGAAAATGTCCTAACATTTATCATTTAGTCCATTTTGGGAAACTAATTTTCTAAGAAAGTACAGATGCATGGGTTCAATAAAATTTGGGCAGGAAATGCAAAAATCAGTTCCCCGAAATGGAATAAATAAATCTCCAATATTTCTCTCAAGATAACGGTTATAGACTTTAGTGGTCTGATTGAAAAAAAGAATCCAGAAGCCAGGATGATATTCGCACCAACAATTTCACAATTATGATGATATTAGTCGTACTGTACTAGGTTGACATCTTGTATGTTTAGTCGGAGAGACATGTTATGTACTATGAAGGAAGTTAGAAGGACTAATTAACATCAGGAAAACCTGATCGGGCAAATTTTAACTGAAAATGCTCGATGTTCTCTTTCTGGCCAGTAAGATAAGCAATAAGTATTAATTTCCAATAGTTCCATATACTCGTGTTTCTCACATTCTATATTTCTTCCAGTGAGTGACGTTTTACATAGAACATGTTGCCTAATACTACCCAACGTTAATCGTTCCGGACTTCTTTTTCACAACCATTTGAACTCGACGGAAAAATGTAGAGGGAGGTTTGTAAAGGAAGTAGTGCGCTCTCCATAACGATCTCCCCATGAAAAAGATTTGTTCATCTGATTTTAGCTCACATGGTGAGCTTTTGCAATCACTCACTTTTTTTTATTTATTTAGTATTTAGGTCAGTGGCTCGGTCAACTTGACATTATGAGCCATTTTTACAGAAATATAGGAGTTGACGTACATCGGTGTTACATAGTTGAAGGTATACAGCCAAGTGAGGCTCGCACGACTAGTAGCATGTTGGTGGTGCTCCAAAGAATGACTCAGCGGTTAGAAAATGCTATGTCTAGATATTCGGCAAATAATTTGATGATACATGAATTTTCATTTTTATTACAGATATGATGACCAAATAGTAAAGTGTTAGCCTTATTGGCTCGTGTTAGAGAGTTACATTTTATCATTGGACTTTCACGTGTTATTATTATTAGACTCCAGATTGAAAATCTGGAGTCTATTGTTTTTGCCTGTTTTCTTATTAGACTCCAGATGAAATCTGGAGTCTATTGTTTTTGCCTGTTTTCTTATTATTAGACTCCAGATTGAAAATCTGGAGTCTATTGCTTTTGCCAGTTTTCTTATTAGACTCCAGATGAAAATCTGGAGTCTATTGCTTTTGCCAGTTTTCTTATTATTATTAGACTCCAGATGTAAATCTGGAGTCTATTGTTTTCGTCAGTATTCTTCTTTATTATTATTATTATTTTTCTCTACGCGTTTTCTCAATAACTAGAAGATATTGAGTCAAGTCCTGTATATGGTCAATTTAGGTCCAGTATCTAGTTTCTCGGAAATTGGGTCAAATTTTTATCTAGGTCAAAGGTCAAGAACTAGGTCAAATCCAGTACTTTGTCACTTTTTTCGATTTTCTCGGTCGTCCTTCAATATTTTCGATCCGGGTTTCTTTCATTGTGTTCCTTATAAAAAAGTAGGAAAGCTAGGTTCGATTTTGTTTTTTGATATCTCAAACCGATTTCGAGATATCAGTGTCCGAAAACGAGGTCCAAAAAGAAATTCTCCGAATCAAATGTCCAGGATATTATTCTTATAGGAAATTTTCTCAGGATTCCGAATCTGAAAACCAAATTCGAATTGGACTTCCGGTTCGGAAGTTATGGCCTTTTGAAAGCTCAAAAATCGCTAAATTTGGTGCCCATGTTAAGTCAATGGGAAAAAAGATTTTTTTGAAGTGAAAAATACGAAATATAGACTGAGTTTAGCTTAATTTAATGAAAGCTTTTAAAAGAAGGGGACCTCAAAAGCCATCTAGCTTCAAAATTTTGATACCCAAATACCTAGGTCAAAATCTAGGTCAAATCCAAAGGTTTATCTTATTTTTGTGATTCTGACACTACACTTTAATTATATTCCTCGAAATTGTGTATATATGTAGCCAAGAGTGTGTTAATAGTGTTAGCCTTTTGCCGTCAGAAAGTATTTTGACCCACTTTTGAGATATGGTGTCCTAAAAGTAGGTCAAAATAAAAAGTTCTCCAAATTTAACGTTTGAGTTATGAATTAATAATAAAATTTTCTCAGAAATCCGAATCTGCAAACCAAATTTCAATCCGACTTCCGGTTCCGAAGTTATGGCGTGTCCGAAAAGTAGGTCAAAATAAAAATTCGCCAAATTTAACATATGAGTTATGAATTAGGGGTAGAATTTTGTCAGGAATTCGAATCTTTAAATTAAATTTCGATCCGACTTCCGGTTCGGAAGTTATGGCGTTTTGAAATTTCGGAAAATCGATCTGATGGTATCCTAGTCAAGAGTAGAGAAGAAAATATTGAAAAATTCATCCATCCTTCCTATCTGATCCTATTCTATCCTATCCTTCCTATCTATCCTTCCTTCGTATCTTTTCCTTCCTATCCTATCATATCCTTTTTTCCTATTCAATTCTATTCTATCCTATCCTTCTTTTTATTCTATCCTATCGTTCCTTCCTATTTTCTCCTATCCTACCTTCCTATTTTATTCATCCATCTTTTTCTGGATGACTCAGCTTATTCTGGATGACTCGGCTAAAAATGGTCTAAATCTGGAGTCTGAAATTGAACTTCGTTCAATTTCCAAAGTCTAGTTATTATTTTTCTTTCTTTCTTTCTTTCCGTACACGTTTTCTCAGCAACTAGAAGAGCTTACTTTAACCTACTTACATGGCTAACATAGCCCATCGACCTAGTTTCTGGGAAATTAGGTCAAATTTGTATCTAGGTCAAAGGTCAAGAACTAGGTCAAATTTAGGTCAAATCAACATTCTGTCAATTATCTTCGTTGTTGTTTGCCCTTACTCCTTCATCTTTTTTTCATTATGTAGCTTAGAAAAAAACAAATCGAGAGTGTGCCATCCGTTTTTTGATTACTCTTACCGATTTTGAGATATGGCGTCCGAAAAGTAGGTCAAACTAAAAAAGTTCTCCAAATTTAACATATGAGCTATGGAATAAGGGTAGGATTTTCTCAGGAATCCGAATCTGCAAACCAAATTTCGATCCGACTTCCCGTTTGAAAGTTATGGCGTTTTGAAATTTCGAGAAAAATCGATCTGATGTTACCCTGATAGAAAGTCAAGGAAAAAAGATTTTTTTTAAAGTGTAAAATACGAGATATAGATTGAGTACAGCTTAAGATAATGAATTCCTATAAAAGAAGGGGACCTCAAAAGCTACCTAGTTTCAATATTTGGACACCAAAATGCCTAGGTCAAAATCTAGGTCAAATTCATAGTTTTTCCTTATTTTTGCGATTCTGGCACTACACTTTTAGGATTTGCTTCAAAATTTTGTATACAGGTTGCAAAGAGTGTGCTAATAGTGTAAGCCTTTTGCCGTCAGAGAGTATTTTGACCCACTTTTGAGATATGGTGTCCGAAAAGTAGGTCAAAATAGAAAATTCTCCAAATTTAACATATGAGTTATGAATTAAGAGTAGAATTTTCTCAGGAATCTGAATATGCAAACCAAATTTTGATCCGACTTCCGGTTCCGAAGTTATGGCGTGTCCGAAAAGTAGGTCAAAATAAAAATTCGCCAAATTTAACGTATGAGTTATGAATTAGGGGTAGAATTTTGTCAGGAATCCGAATCTTTAAATTAAATTTCGATCGGACTTCCGGTTCGGAAGAAATGGCGTTTTGAAATTTCGGAAAATCGATCTGATGATATCCTGATAGAAAGTCAAGGAAAAAAAGATTTTTTTGAAGTGTACAATACGAGATATAGATTGAGTACAGCTTAAGAAAATGAATTCCTATAAAAGAAGGGGACCTCAAAAGCTACCTAGTTTCAATATTTGGACACCAAAATGCCTAGGTCAAAATCTAGGTCAAATTCATAGTTTTTCCTTATTTTTGCGATTCTGGCACTACACTTTTCGGATTTGCTTCAAAATTTTGTATACAGGTAGCAAAGACTGTGCTAATAGTGGGAGCCTTTTGCCGTCAGAAAGTATTTTGACCCACTTTTGAGATATGGTGTCCGTAAAGTAGGTCAAAATAAAAAGTTCTCATAATTTAACTTATGAGTTATTAATTAAGGGTAGAATTTTCTCAGGAATCCAAATCTGGAAACCAAATTTTGATCCGACTTCCGGTCAAAAATTCCTACTACCTACCTACCTACTTAGCTACCTACTTAGCTACCTACTCAGCTACCTACTCAGCTACTTACTCAGCTACCTACTCAGCTACTTACTCAACTACCTGCTCAGCTGCTTACTCAGCTACCTACTCAGCTACTTACTCAATTACTTAATCATCTACTTACTCAGCTTCCTACTCAGTTACTTACTCAGCTCTTTACTCAAGTAAATCAATCTGGAGTCTTAAATTGAACTTTGTTCAATTTACCAATCTAGTTATTATTAGACTCCAGATTGAAAATCTGGAGTCTATTGCTTTTGCCAGTTTTCTTCTTATTATTATTATTAGACTCCAGATGTCAATCTGGAGTCTATTGTTTTTGCCAGTATTCTTCTTCTTTATTATTAGACTCCAGATGTCAATCTGGAGTCTATTGTTTTTGCCAGTATTCTTCTTTATTCTTATTCTTATTCTTTTTATTCTTCTACCTACGTTTTCTCAGTAACTAGAAGACATTGAGTCAAGTCCTTTATACAGTCAAGTTAGGTTCAGTATCTAGTTTCTC